GCCCCACGCTGGCTATGACAACATCCGGAGGCATTAACAGTTGTCATAATTGGGGTGGGGCGAGCTAATGGCTTCTAATGGGTAGAAGCCACTGAGGCTGCTAATGGGACCCAGAGGTTCTATAATGCACAGAGGAGTCCCTAGTCCAAATAAAGAATGATCTCGGTGGTTAAGAGCACTGACTGCTCTTCCAGAGGATCCAGGTTCAATTCTCAGCACCCACATGGCAGCTCACAACTGTCTTTGACTCTGACACCTTCATACAGACATACGTGCAGGCAAAACACCAATGCACATAATATAAAAACAAATAAATGTTTAAAAATTAGCTCACCTTAACTACCCATGGCATCCTGATTGAAAGACTTTCCATGGGGTTGGGGAATTAGCTCAGTGGTAGAGCGCTTGCCTAGCAAGCACAAGGCCCTGGGTTCGGTCCTCAGCTCCAAAAAAAAAAAAAAAAAGAAAGAAAGACTTTTCTAAGGACTGTGTTAATTGTGTTTTGTGGTGAAAAACAACAAACCTCACCTAAGACTTGATAACCAGAATGTCAACAGTTACAAAGCTATTATTTGTAAATTTATTTATTTATTGTAATGACTCTGGTCAGTAGAGGTATGAGATTAGTTTTTTTGTTTGTTTGTTTGTTTGTTTGTTTTTTTGGTATTGCTGACTCAACTCAGGGTCTTGGATACCCAAGTCAAATTGCTGCCCTCCCCTTTAGGTTCTGAAATATCTGGAATGTTTCACTGGACCCAATATATGGCCATGCACACAATGCTGATAACCCCCTGGGCTGCCAGCTGCCAGCCCTGCATTTTTCTTGGCAGTTTTGTGTTGTTATTGTTGTTGTTGTTTTAGACGGGAGTCTTACTTACGCTGTACAAAACTGACCCTGGAACTCAGGATCTTTCCGCCATCTTGGTTCTTCTGTAGATCATTGTTTGCCATGTCATTTGCCTGTACTTCTGACTTCCTATGAAGTTACTTTTTTTTACTGCTTTTCTCGTAGGTTCTGAAATATGTGGAGTGTTTCACTGGACCCAATATCATGGCTATGCACACCATGTTGATAAACAAACCTTCAGATTCTGGTAAAGAACTCTTCATTGTTAGGAACACACAAAAGAAAGTATTGCTAGATTAAGTATGTAAAGTTGATGTTCAAACCTAGGTCATGCGTTTAACTATCAAACTTCAGATGAGGGAATGTATCAGCTTTCATTTAACTCTTAAAACACTTTATATTATAACAACACTGGTGAGTAATAGTAATTTCAGAGAGTGACTATAGGGAGCATTGCTAAATAGTCACACAACAGTCTGTAGAGCTCATCAAGCAATAGTTTGTATATCATAAACTTCTGTTCAATGTGTCTAAGCTTCTAATTTTTTATTCATTATTTATTTATTTTATTTTTATTTTTATTTTTTTAATGTGTAGCCTAAGCTGGCCTTGAACTCTCGATCTTCCTTCCTCCGCCTCCTTCAGCAAATCCTACTAGCGTGCGTCACCACAACCAGCTAAGCTTCTTTTTTATTTCTTTGTCTAGACAGGGCTTCTCTGTGTAGCCCTGACTATCCTGGAACTCACTCTGTAGACCAGGCTGGCCTTGAACTCAGAGATCCACTTGCATCCTGAGCCTCCTGAGTGCTGGGATTAAAGTCACGTGCCACTACTGCCCAGCATGTCTGAGTTTTTTTATTTATTTTTTAACTATGTGCCACCTCTGGGCTGGTGGTCCTGAGCTCTATAAAAAAGCAGGCTGAGCAAGCCATGAGGAGCAGCCAGCAAGCAGGACTCCTCCATGGTCTCTGCGTCAGCAACTGTAGTTCCTGCCCTGTTTGAGTTCCTATTCTGACTTCCTTTGATGATGAACTGTGATGTGGAAGTGCAAGCCAAATAAACTTTTTCCTCCCCAAGTTTCTTTGCTCATGGTGTTTCATCACAGCAGTAGAAACCCTGACTAAGACAGAACCCATGTAAAAATGCCAGGCAGGAGAGTGCATCACTGGGGAGGCAGAAACAAGAGGCTTCCCAGGAACACTGACCATCCAGCCTAGCCTAATCGGTGAGCTGTAGGCTAATGAAAGGCCCTGCATCCAAGGAGATGGATAGGGTTACTGAGGACACTCAGGCTGTCAACATGCAAACCCTCTCATCTGCACATAAGCACATGCACATGTGTGAGCACCTATACATACATGTCACCTTGCCAAGGACAAGGACCGAGAGAGCCTCTAAGCCACAGGAAAGGGGAACTGGAGCTTGGCTCCATATCATTCTCCTTAATTTCATTAATCCAGCTGTAGTAAAATCCTTATTGAATGCTGCCCCTGTGAAAATCGCAAGCAACAAAGGGATGATGTGTGACTGCTAGAAAGGATATTAACTACCCCTCCAGTGGGAGCCGGAAGTAGAGGATGTGGAGCCCTCACTGATACTTCAATTTGTTGCTTAT